ACATTTTATTAAACTGCATTTGATTAACTGTTTAAAAATGCCCTGAAAGTAGGTATTATTCATTTTGTATATGAACACACAATACGGTCAAATGTCTGTATTTGTGTAAATATGAGTAAGCATGTGCACTGATCTGCTTGTGACCTCTGACCTGCCAGGGCCTTGATGCGGGAGCACTCGAACAGTTTGGAGCTGGTACACTCTGTCTCCCAGAAGCCAGAGCCGATTGGTCGGTTGTTGTTGTTAAGCTGGCGCTGGGCTTCCGCGTTGTCCAGGTCTGGAGAGGCATTAGCCATCGCGCCCGACGCCCTGCGAAAAATCAAACACGGTCAAAATATCTGATATCAGCCTGTGTGTGAAATAAAGGATGTGATAACGTCGTCCTGGTAACATATAAAAATTAAATTAAAAAAAATCATCTGTACAGTCATGCTTGATGAAATAGGTTTTGAATGAGCCAATATAAATATCAGTGGATTTGCTTTAATGCGCTACTCACATACAAAAAGACATATATATGTATGTGTGCACACTGGCACATGCAGAGGAGAGAAAAAGAAGTGGCAAAGACAAGTGCTCCATCCTCACAGGTGAAAAGCCTTTCGCACCTGATAATTAAACTCTCACTGACTTCACATGTCCTTATTAGATATCTCTTAACCCTTATTCAACCGCACAAGTTTAGCCACTGAAGCAAATTCAGACTCAAAATTCACCGTTCAATAAGGAGACTTCTGCAGAAATAAGGAGTCAATAGGTCATTTCCTGTTCATGAATGATGCAGTACCTGTCCTTGGCATCAAAGCATTTTACAATAGCAAAGCTTAAAATAGACTTAAAATGATTTGGGCATCTCATCTCTTCAGCCCGTCGCTTTGACAGCTGAAAGCAGGTACATAAAAATAGCTTCTAAACCTCTGCATGAAATCACACTGTGCCGGCTGAGAGTTAAGAAACAGAAACATTCGAAACAAACAACAATGAAAAACCTCCTGTTCAATTTTCTGATATTCATCAGCTTCAGCTGCATTCGTTTGAAGAGCTCACAGAGATGTTTGATATCAGTTAGAGGCTTCAATTAAAATTAAAATGAAACCTTAACAGTGAGCACTGGATAATGTGGTGTAAATAGTCTGCTTCGAGCAATCCACGGTTCGGTTTGTGGCACTCACGACAGAATTCAGAGCACACATTAAAAATCAGGTGAAAACTTAAACGCGTCTCTGCTAGAACAGCTTGGAGGCTCTGAAGTAAAAATTTGGGTTTTTCCAAATTAAGGCACCAAAAAGATGGTACTGTCTGTTTCAGCCTTCTTCATACACACCCTCTTCAAATTTTTTTAAATACTTTTTTTCTTTTAACGTATAAAGGATGTGTCATGCAAAAAATAGATGGTACCTCCTGTCTTTTCCTGAATTTGACAGTTTGTTGTTTTCAGTGTGTGTGT